CCGTCATTGCCGCCGCTCGTCTGTGCTGAGGAGAAAATTTCCCGCCCGCCGCCATTTTGGTTTTCATTCAAACGGCGACTACACGGACGGTGCTTGAAGTTTGGCTTGGTTTCGCCATGCCGTGTCGTCGGCTCCACGAATTTGTCTGTCATACTTACTGACCACCTTCTACGGGCTTCAGATCCCTTTCTAATCAGCGGAGGTTTCGCCTGCCTAGCTTCTCCAGCCGCCCATCGCCCCAGCTTCGGACCCAGCGCATGCGCAGAAGCCTTCTACCTCAGTTGCTCAAATTGCCTTGTCAGCGGTGTTTTAAACCCTCTGTGGCATCGAGGCCCTTCTCTGAATAATCAGCACACCCTGTTAATTCACTTACCTTCCTTCTCAATACCCTTCCTGGGGCTTCCCCTTGTGTTCAGCCTCGCTTAGTGTCCCTGGTCTCGTACTTATAACAAAAAAAAAATCACCTGATTACCTACCTTGTTCTCACTGTGTCTTCTACAATGACACAGAAAACTACCATGGTTCACCATGAGGAGGCTGAGGTCGAGTCTGACCAGTTGTCTGAGGGTGAGGAAGACATAAGTCGCCTCCAAACGTCTCGAAAGAAAGGAGGGAATTCTGAAGTAAATAGGTTTCAAGCCCCTTGTTTTTTTGTTTTTTGTTTAATTTGATTTATATGCCGCCCTTCTCCGGAGACTCAGGGCGGCTTACAGTGCGTTAAGCAATAGCCTTCATACTTTTGTATATTTATACAAAGTCAGCTTATTGCCCCCACAAACTGGGTCCTCATTTAACCTACCTATAAATCAAATTAAAAAAAATAAAAAATAAAAATAAAAAAAAATTAAAAAAAAAAAAGCCCCTTGTGCAGGGTACTGAGGGAATCATTTCCGTTCCGCATGTAGGTTTAAGAATGCTGACTGCAGACGCTGTGGTAAAAAAGGCCACCTTGCCAGGGTTTGTAAGGCTAGCCAGCCAAATATGGCCAATAATAACAGCAATAAAAATAGTTTTTCGAGACCCAGCCGGAGTTACTATCCCCAAAATAGGCAGGATAGGCGTGAGGAAGAATGTTTTACTATTTACAGGGGTGCCTGCCCCTCCGAGACGACCATAGGTCAGGCAAAGTCGGATTTGAGGAAAAAACTTTTCCTTACAGTTCGCATAGAAGGTAAACCATGTAAAATGGAATTGGACACTGGTTCTTCCGTGTCAATAATTTCTTGGAGCACTCTTAAACGACTGGTGCCCTCGATGGCCAAGAGGCGTTTAGCCTCTTGCACATTCCGACTTCGTGATTATCAAGGTAATCACATTCCAGTTTTAGGATCAGGGAGATTTAGGGTCGAATATAAGAATTTCAGTGGCCGCCTTAAATTAATTGTTGTTAATGGCACACTCCCCAGTTTACTGGGATTAGAATGGTTTGATGCTTTAGGATTGGCTATTACCGGTATTCACACAACTTCATCTGATGTATTTTCCGACTTGTTCACGGAATTCTCAGATGTATTTAGTGAAGGTCTTGGCAAATATACAGGTACTCCCATCTCCTTTAATTTGGATCCCAAAATCGCCCCAATACGACTCAAGCCTCGTAGAGTGCCTTTGGCACTCCGTGCTCAAGTCGATAAGGAGATTGATAGGCTATTAGCACAGGGAATATTAGAACAGGTGGATCACGCTCGATGGGAGACGCCAATTGTCACCCTGATGAAATCTGATGGCTCTATCCGCATCTGCGCGGACTATAAGGCGACCATCAATAAGGCTTTGCAGGCTCACCCCTACCCTGTTCCAGTGGTGCATCACCTCCTCCATTCGTTGGGCCGTGGCTCAATTTTTGCTAAGTTGGATATGGCGCAAGCCTATCAACAATTGGAGGTGGACACCGCCACCGCAGATGCCCAGACAATTGTAACCCACCGGGGTGCATTCCATTGTAGACGATTGCAATTTGGGGTCTGTGTCGCCCCAGGCATTTTTCAATGCCTCATGGAAAGGCTGCTGCACGGATTGCCTGGAGTAATTCCTTACTTCGATGACATTTTCGTCTCTGCCATGACAGAAGCTGACCTGGCCAGCCGCCTTCGTGCCGTGTTATCCCGATTCCAGCAAGCAGGACTCAAACTCAAGCCCAACAAATGCAAATTGGGAGTACCTCAGGTAGAGTTCTTGGGCTACCTCGTTGATGCCGCCAGCCTGCACCCAATGCCTGCAAAGGTGCAAGCAATCCAAAATGGCCCACCGGCTACCAGCCGGTCCGAACTGCAAGCCTTCCTGGGGCTTTTGAACTTTTATAACATGTTCTTACACCACATGGCGACAGTCGCCGAGCCGCTTCACCGCCTTCTTGATAAAGCTACACCTTGGACCTGGGGACGCAAGGAGGCCGATGCTTTCCTAGCTGTCAAACAACTGCTCACGTCAGACTCTGTTTTAGTACAGTATGACAGCGAACTCCCATTGACTTTGACGTGTGACGCGTCACCTTATGGGGTGGGGGCCGTTTTGAGCCATCGGCTGCCTAATGGGACTGAGGCCCCCATCACATACTACTCCAGAACTCTCTCTGCCACTGAACGGAATTACGGACACATAGACAAGGAGGCGCTAGCCATTGTGGCCGGTGTTAAACGATTTCATGATTATTTATATGGCCGTTTCTTTCACATTTTCACAGATCACAAACCGTTGTTGGGAATTCTGGCCGGCGATCGCCAGTCTCCGCAGATCCTGTCTCCACGGATGACCAGGTGGGTCGTGTTCCTGGTGGCCTACAATTATCTACTGGCCCACCGCCCGGGTAAGGACTTGGGTAATGCTGACGCACTCAGCAGATGCCCCCTTCCTGTTCGTGTCGAGGACCCCGCTCCAGCCTCATCAGTCCTACAGATTGATGACCAGCAGAGTCCAGTGTCTGCCGCTGACGTGGCTTGGTACACCGCCAAGGACAGAATTTTATGCCAAGTCCTGGACTGGGTGAGAAGGGGGTGGCCCCTTGGGCAAATCGGTTCTGAGTTCCTTCCTTACAAAATCTGGCAACTAGAACTTTCCATGTTGCGAGGCTGCCTATTGTGGGGCACCAGGGTGGTTGTTCCTGTAGAACTAAGATGGCAAGTCCTAGAAACTTTGCATAATGGCCATCCGGGCGTGGCCCGGATGAAGGCTTTAGGCCGCAGTTACCTATGGTGGCCCAAGTTAGATGAAGCTATCACGAACTGGGTCGCAGAGTGCCAGCAGTGCTAGCGCATGAGCTCAGCCCCTCCCAGGGCTCCAGTTAGGGAGTGGAAGTTGCCAAAGGCCCCCTGGTCCCGGGTTCACGTGGATTTTGCGGGCCCCTTCCATGGCCATACCTTTATGGTCATTGTAGACGCCTATTCTAAGTGGGTGGAGTTGGTGGCCATGGCCTCAACCACAGCGGAGGCAGTAGTCTGGGCACTGAGAAGCGTATTCGCAACCCACGGCCTACCAGACTTGATTGTATCAGACAATGGGCCTCAACTGTTGTCTGCCACTTTCCAAACATATGTAGCCAGACATGGGATTAGGCATGTCACGGTGGCCCCGTTCCATCCGTCCGGAAATGGCCTTGTTGAAAGGGCCGTGCGATCGGCCAAGGAGGTTCTTGCCAAATTGGGACCTGGGGATTGGCAAACTAAATTGGCTACCTATTTGTTAACGCAGCATGTGACCCCATGCCCAACGACAAACCGCAGCCCAGCTGAGTTATTAATGGGCCACCAGTTAAGAACAGACTTGGATCGTTTACATCCTGATTATTTTCCTGAGAAACCCCCGGATTCAAGTGGCGGGGCCCGTTCATTCCAAGAGGGAGAGTGGGTATATGCCCAAAACATATCCTCGCTGGTTGCTCGGCCAGATAATTGAGGTTACAGGGCCCCAGTCATACAGAGTGCAGTTAGGGGATGGCCGTACCTGGCGGAGGCATGTAGACCAACTGTGCCGCTGCCGTTGGTTTCCCCAAAAGACGATTACTAATGAATCCCTATCCGGGCCTGTCACATCTGGGTCTGCCGGAGCCGCGACTGTAGAGTACAAGTCACGTCCGGAGTCTCAACCCAACGACGAGGGGACTGCGAACTCACCTGTGGTTCCTGTACCTTCCCTGCCAAACGAAGCACTGTCCGAAGTGGATATCCAGTCTCCAGGAGTTCCAGTGGCGCTCAGCGTAGATCACCCTGTTCCAGCTGAATCCGGTGGACCGCGCAGATCAGGGAGGAACAGGAGATGCCCAGCATACCTCGATGATTACGTTTATGCCATCCAGGAAGAAAGGGGTGTTATGTCTGGACTGCAAGCACGAGCGGCCAATAGAGCAGCCGATTGGTCCGTGTGCCGGCAGGCAGCCGGCGGGAAATTGGTGGCTCCTGATTGGCCCAGCTTCTGACAGCTGAGTATAAAAGAGCTGTCAGTGCCTCAAAAAGCTGCTCGCTCTCCTTGGTAGTTAGCTAACCAGAGCGAGTCACTGTTAGCTGTTATTGTTAGCCAATAAACATGTTGTGAAGTGTTTATCCTGCCTTGCCTCCCTTCTTTAGCCTTTGTTCCGTGAACAGAACAATTTAAATTGTGTTGGAGATGACTAAAATTATAAATTATAATTATAAAATTATAAAAATTTGTGAACCGGCCAATACTCTGTTCAGAAAAATGTACTGTATGTTTGTTTATGTGTTTGTGTAAAAAATAAAAAAACTTTATATATATAAAAAGCTTTCTTTCTTAAGCAGACTCCATTTTATTTCCAGCTTGGAACTGGACCTGGATTTTTCTTCCAACAAAGAGTTTCTCTTCCACGGGTGGCACTTTGTTCTTATCCAGGCCTGCCCCCCCACTCCCCTTTACTGCTTGGAGTACTGCTCCTGCCTTTATTTCTCTCCACCAATGCTGTGGCTTGGCAGCCCCCCCTCCTTCCACCCCCTCCATCAAGCCTCTTTCTCTTTCCGCATGGCTACTTGTGAAAAGACTTGTATACTCACTTGGTCCAACTCCAAAGAGGATGACAAGCAAGAAAATCAGGATGACACTGCAGAGAGACATCCAGGGGAGGTTTTTCTGGAGGTGGGAATAAGGGAACAGGCAGTCTTGAAGCTTTGGAGACCAGGATGTGCAGAAGCCCCACCCCCAACATCGGGCTCTCTGATCAATGCATCCTTCTCAGAAAATGGGAGGCTTCACCAAGGCCAGACTGTGGACCTTGTCTGGAAGAAGATTCAAATGGTTGACAGCTCTGCCTGTACTCCAACCACTGCTGCAGGAGTCCTCCTTCCCATCTGTAGCCCAGGCAGCTGTGTTCAGTCTCATCAAGAGACAGATTGGGAGAGTTGGTCAAAAGTCATACTTGCAGACTCAGAAGGGCCATTAGGCCATCAAATCTGACACCCTATTCTGGGTGGGAATCCCAAGTCAAGCATCCCAGAGTGATGAAGTGGTATGTAGGAAAGTCCTTGGGAGAAGGGAAAGGTTAGAGAAGAGAGGGCATGGTCCAGAGCTGCCTAGTGGGTGGAGAAAGAGGCCCAGGGGGGACTCTCCTTAAGTTTTTCAGCAGTAAGTGTAATGGCAGGAGAACTCTTGTTAATAAAGACAATTTGTACAATAAAGTGGAGTTAGTTAATGTGGCTGTGTTTCATGTCTGGTCTACCCTGCAAGATTGACAACAGCCAGCTTTCAAGCCTTCTCCCATAACCAACACCTTAAACATTCCAATAAACACAGCAAGGAATGACTGAAAAAAGAGAGAAATTGGGTTTTTGAAATAGTCAAGTCAAAGCCTGGATCTAAAACCCACTAATATGCGGTGAGGTAATCAGCTATGAAGCAGTGGCCCAATCTGCCTCCTGGGGTTATTTTGATGCAGAAGATTTTAAAAGTGAAGGTACAATTGAAAGTAGAGGGTTTTCTTTTTGGCTTAATGGACAAACAAATGGAATCATCTCATGGATCTTTGCTTTTATATATGACAATGGCACTGAGATTTTTAAACGGCCAAAGGTGGAAGGACTCGTAAAGACCTATAGTGGAGGAATGGATGGTGAAGCTGGTGGAATTGACAGAGATGGCAACATTGACAACCTCGACAAAAGAAAACACTTTGCCAAATTTTATTTCTGCTTGGAAGCCATTATTGGACTTTTTGCGAGAAACTGAGAGAAGATTTTAGGATTTGATCATTAGAATTATATGGGACTGTCAAAAACAATGCAAGCAAATATTCACCTTAAAGTGAAGAGATGATGGCACTAAGATTTCATTTCCTACAGGAGATGAGGCTTACTAGGCTGCCTGCTCTGCCAAAACAGAATTTCCAGAGAAGCCTTTTCTTCTTACCTGCAGAGAAAGTGTCCCTGTGAGGAAGAAGAGCACCAAGGCCATCGACCCACAGCCTTTCCACACCAGCGGCCTCCGTCCATACCGTTCAATGGTAAATATCTGGAGAGGGGAAATTAGGGAATGTGCCAATGTCAGGGAAACATGGACAGATTTCCTGGCATCTAAATTCAAATAATACGTGTCAAGCAGAACTTTTATATTCAAATTCAAAACAGTAGAAATGACATTTTGGCCCTTTTTTCCTTTTGGAGAATTGTGGACCAAGCACCTCCTGTGGAATCGCATGGTCAAACTGGTCCTTGTGGGAGCCTGATGATTCCACTTGGCTTGACAGCTCCATCTAGACTGGGGTTTAGCTCAGGAGCATGTGCCTCTCCCTCCAAGGGGTCCGAAGGGGCAGGCCCTGCCAGGATGTCCAGCATCAGAGGACCCAGGCTGGCCAAAGGCTTTGCCAAGTGGTCCTGGCCAGAGTTTGGGCTTGCTGCCTCATGCTCCAAGCAGAGATGCAAGCTGTGCCTCTGGGGAATCACAGAGGAGGGTGTGAGAATGTCATAAGCTGGATCTAGCCCAATAACTCAAAGACAGACTCCAATTCTTTTCTGTAGCTTTATTATTGATCTGTTGGTACTGGAGGTCACTGACCTTGTACCTTTCTCTTTCAGGTATACATCTGGAATCATCTGTGGACCATGTGGTTGGACCTTTTGTACCCAGGAGGAGGGGCTAAGAGGTAAGGAGTGGTTATAAGGATTATGGGATATGTGGTTAGTTAACCCTTGAAGGTCCGGGTGATCAGGGAGATATAGTAGTTAGGCATTTATCATGACAGAGAAGAATAGTGACTGTCACAGAGGAAGATTCATAATGGCAACATAACACTGGGAGAGGAGGGAGGTTTTTGTCAGGGCATTTAATTAGTCCCAGAATATTTCAGAATAAAACGAACTATTTAGTCTTAGGTCTTACACAAAGGAAAGATGAGAAGAGCTCAGAGAAGCCGATGCCCAGGGAGACGTAGGGGATAAGTCTTTCTTCTAAACCTGCATTGTGAAGCATTTCGAAAGCATAGAAATAAACCTAAGTGGAAAAAAGAAGATGTTAATAGTTGCCAAGAAGTAGTGAAGATCTCCCCCTGCTTCAGAAGCTCAGGGCTGCGGTCCCATGTGAAGGTCTGCATTTAGCAGTGGCTGCTGTCATTTCCCACACCCCCCACCCCCGATTTGCTGCTCACGTGACTCCACAGCCGAGAGCTGGAGAGGACTAGGACTGTCTGACTCCCTCCTAGAAGCAGCAGCTCAAACTGCTGCTCTGAACACAGTAGGGAGGGGGGGAGAGCAGTTGAACGGCAAATGTGCCAAATCTGGCCAGGCTTGTTACCCAAGCCTGTACCTGGTCCTTCCTCTAAAGGGCACTGAAGTTGTGCTCTGAGGTGGCTGGTGGACCCTTTGCCTCCCCAGATCAATATGCCAGGCTCTCGCAACATGGGAGATGGCTTCAAGAAGTGGCATTTCCCCCTCTTGAAATACTTGCAGGAAGAGGAGGAGACCTCAGGGAGATGGGACGACTTGTGATGGCCAACTTGCCATGGACAACTCACTGTGGGACAATTCAACATTTTTATTTAATTATTTAAAATAATTTTAAAATAATTTTAATTTTTGTCATTCACATTTCATTTACACATTACACATGTCGGGGCCAAATTATTTAATATGATTTTAAATTGCTTTTAAATTTTATATATGTGTTTGTTTTATCTTTGGCTGTGCACCGCCCTGAGTCCTTTGGGAGAAGGGCGGTATAAAAATTAGATTAAATAAATAAATAAATAAATAAATAAATAAATAAATAAATAAATAAATAAACATTTCATTTTGTCCCTCCTTTTGCATCCTTTCTTTAATGATTATATTCCACCATTTCTTTTATCTCAATTTTGTCCTGCAGCAAGTTGTCCCACAGTGAGTTGGCCACAGCAAGTTGACCGGTGAGTTGTCCTAGACCTGGAGGGCAGCCCAGGAGTTGGGCAGGAGAAAGTCCAATGCAGTGCTGAGACAAAACCAGCACTGCACTGCACAGGACCCCAGAGTGAAAAACACACAAGAACACACTGTCTAGTTGGGCCTTTGCTGTTCCTCCAGTTTCACCAGACTTGATTAAGATGGCATGCTGCCATCTTAACATCTCCTGTTGTCAAGAGTTGTGCAACTTTGGGAACGCCCCGCTGTAGTTCTTGTGCTGCCTTGCTAATTTAATTTTTTGTGTTAGCTTTTCCATATTATAAACCCAGTTGTTGTCGTCCCTTTTCCTAGCCTGGCTAGCCACCCAGGCCTCTTCTTCAAGGGGCTTTGCTGGAGAAGCCTGGGCAGTTTCTAGGCTGCAGGCACCAGCTGGCTCTCCCTCAATTCTGCAAAGATTGTGTGAGGAATGGACACTTAACCGCATTGATGCCACAGAGCTGCACAGTGACAATGACAGCCACTAGGATGCTCAGCTGCTGGCGAAGTGATGCATCGTGGAGCAGCTCTCCTGGCCAAAGCACTTTGCTCCTTTTCCCTCCTGGGGCCATTTCTTTCTTCAGCTCCCCAAGCTCTTCCTGGTGATCCCCTTGGCCCCACAGCTGCTGCATTGCTTGGGAAGAGAAAAGATGCAGGTCATAAAGGTTAGCTAAGTCATTCCTGGGCAGCAGCAGCCTTCACACACACACACACACACACACACACACACACACACACACCATCCAGAAAGACCTGACAGGCCACAAGAGCCCCAGAGAAACAGTTCTCATCCTTGTAGGCCCAACCTCTAAGTGGTCACTGGGAAAGGAGCCCATGGGGGTGGGGGTGGGGGTGGAGCTGCCTCTAACTTGGTCCTGTAGCTCAGTGTTTCTCCCCCTTATCAACTTTATGATTTGTGGCTGAGGAATTCTGACAGTTGAAATCCACACATCTTTAGGTTTCTGAAGTTGAGACCCACTGCCCTAGCTCACAGCTTGCTAAGGATTGGGCTAGTTGGATAGAAATACAGAAATGTTTGAACTGTCTGATTCTCTAGTCAGGTTGGCTTGGGAGATTTCACCTGCCTTCCCTGGACTTGCCTTAGCAGAGGACAGAGGTTCAATCTGTTTTTTGTCTTGGGCCAGTGGCAATGTGATCTGGAGATATTAATATCTATCTCTTGTCATGATTAGATCACTCTTTGATGGTTTTGTAGTTCTCCACAGCTTTTCTCTGATGTAGGACCTTGGAAACTTTCCTTTGGTCCACTTTGGGTACCTAATGGACCATGCTGGATTTCAAAAGGACCTTGGGTTGTTCTTGAGGATCTGGTACTATGAATGAGGCCTTAGTTATTGCTTGGAATGATGGTGGTCAACAGCATCTTTGTACCAGGTTATTCCTGGGTGGCCCCTCCGGTTCATAGATTTTGTTTTCCATCCTGGTTTTTTTTTTTTGTTTGTTTTTAAATTTGATTTATATGCCGCCCTTCTCCGAAGACTCAGGGCGGCTTACAATGTGCTCAGCAATAGCCTTCATCCTTTTGTATATTTATACAAAGTCAGCTTATTGCCCCCACAAACTGGGTCCTCATTTCACCTACCTTAGAAAGGATGGAAGGCTGAGTCAACCTTGAGCCTTGGCGAGATTCGAACCCTGCAGTAATTGCAGGCAGCTGGTCTTAATACCCAGCTTAATAACAGGGTGCCTTAAACCCCTGTACTACCAAGGCTCTTTTTAGAAGAATTCCAGGAGATGAAGTATCCAAAAAGGCTCCACAAGCATAAAAGAGATAAAACATATGTAAGAACCTTTCATAAGGGTGACCCTGACACCAATCACCACAATTTTTCTGTTCTTATGTGACAGCCACAGATTGCAGGCAGCAACTCTGTTCAAGATGATCCAGGTGAGCGAAGGGCCAATAGGAGGATTGTTTAAGGATTATGTTCCATGACTGCCCTCTCATACTACATTGATCAGAATTCTGCTAAGTACCTCCCATATAAGTACCTCCTATTAGCCAAATAAGCCACTTTTATAGCCTTTCCCTTTAACATTCACACAACATCCTTATGGCACAGCACATTCTGGACCCTTCAAAAGAAACAATGACAATGAAGAAGACGATGATGATGATGCAGAGATTGGCAGGGAAGCTGAAGTCCCTACCATCTCCAGCTCCTCCTTAATCCTGGCCAGTCAAAGGTTTGGACAACACATTTGCCAAGACCAGCTCCACTTTGGTCATTCTGAGGTGAGACCAATTTTTTAAAGGACAACTTACCTTTCAGGCAGCCTTCCTCATCCCCCTCCTGGATTAAGAGATAAGAAGGAGACTCAGGGAAGAAGGGCAGGAGGAGCAGCTGGAGGAACGCTGCCACACCAGGGAAGGCCAGCAGCAGAGGCCACGATGAATCAGTTCCCAGGAGTTCCCTGGAGAATAGGAAATTGAAGGTTGGAGGTGGAGGATCAGCCCCCTCCCTCTTTCCTCATCCTGCTCTTTCTGTACCTGAGTCCCAAGATTTGGCCCCAGCATTTCCCCAGAGACCAAAAGAATCCTGAGGTAGCATTTGCAAGTCCTCTCCATTTCTTGGGGGAAATTTCTCCAACATACTGAGAATGAATAGCCTGGCAGAGGCCTAGAATGAAAGGAAGGAGAAAGGAAGAACAGACAGAAACCAATGAAATTTAAAATAACCATACAGTCCCAGGAGCAGAATTGTTTGCTGGTTTAGGCAGATGACAAGAGCTGCATCAGATCACTGGGGCACCTGGAGGTTTTTCAATGGGGAGTCATATCACAAGTTATAACTTTAATTTTTAACTTTAACTTTTAACTTTTTCTCCCCAGGATCTGATACAGGCTCCTCTGTTGCCACCATGATTAGTCAATTGCCCAGTTTATCAGAGAGAGATCTTGGAGAGCTAGTGGACAATCATTTATTGTAGTGTGCAGCAGCAGCCAAAAAACCTAATGAATAAACAAGGCAAAACCTTGGTTGCATAAACAGAGGGATAGAGTCAAGATCACATTAAGTATCAAGATCACATGAAGTATTAGTACCACTTTATAAAACTTTAGTAAGACCACATTTGGAACACTGCATCCACTTTTGGTCATCACATTATAAAAAAAATGTTGAGACTTTGGAAAGAATGCAAAGAAGAGCAACTAAGATGATTAAGGGTCAGAGTCTAAAATATGAAGAACGGTTGCAGGAATTGGGTATGTCTAGTCTAGTGAAAAGAAGGACTGGGAGGGACATGATAGCATCTTGAGGGGCTGTCACAAAGAGGGTGGGGTCAACCTATTTTCCAAAGCACCTGAAGGCAGGGCAAGAAACAATGGGTGGAAACTAATCAAGGAGAGAAGCAACCTAGAACTAAGGAGAAATTTCCTATTGGTGAGAACAATCAACCAGTGAAATGACTTGCCTCCAGAAATTGTGGGTTCTCCATCACTGGAGGCTTTTAAGAAGAGACTTGTCAGAATGGTATAGGGTCTCTTGCTTGAGCAGGGGATTGGACTAGAGGACTTCCAAGGTCCCTTCCAGCTATATTATTCTGAAAGCTGGAAGGGCAGAAGAACCCTGGTGGATGCAGCTAATGGCCCTCTTCTTCCAAAGGCTGACCAGTTAGTTGTCCACCATGAAAATCAGTGGACAACAGTGGAAAATCAGTGGGCACAGCAACAGCTGCCTTCTGTCTTGGGGTTCCGTGGCCGGCTGGCTGGTGTGTGGCAGGAGACTGACTTTGAGCCCCTGGGATTTCTCCAGAGAATATCAAAAGCCATATTAAAGCCCAGCCTTCTAAGGCTTCTTACCAGCACATATCCCGTAACCAAATCGTCCAAGGAGAACCATTTCAAAGCACTTGGCTCTCTTGCTGCAGACCATGACTACAGCCGTCAGGATGACCAGGAGGTTTGTGCTCAGCTGGCATTTCTTTCTGTGTCCATGGGCCAAGAAAAGGGGTAGGAGAGAAAGTAACACATTAGCCACCTCACTGCCTTGGGGCTGCCTTGCCTGCAAGCCTATTTCGTGGGACTGGCTCCATCTACTGCTCCCTCAAAGCCAGAGGGATGGGTATCTACTGATACCCATCTGCCCATCTAAAAGTGACAGGGAGTTAAATCACAAGTGTGGGAGAACAAGATTTAAGAGTGAATCAGGGTGACTTTCTAAAACAGAGACAGCATCCCAGATGCCAGCAGGGCCAACGATGAATACAAACAGTTCAAGAAACATCCCATTTGCATTTTGAATAAGCCTATTTATTTCCTATATTTATTAAAATAAAAGAAAGTTTATAAAACAACTGCAGGCTTCTTTCAAGAAGCCTGCAGCTGTTTTATGGCCCTCCTGCTTTCTCTGGGCCAACAGCCCAATGGTTTCTTTTGTAACTGAGGGATGTATTTGTTTCTCAGCTCTGCCCCAAGGAAGCTGCCAGGTTCCTGGCATCTGTTGGGCACACCTACTTCCCATATTTCACAGTCAGGAATCCGCTGCAGAGACATCCCAACAGGCCTCCTACTCCGTAGACAGACACAGCAAATGACCACAGGAAGAGCTGTGTCTTTTCATTGAGGGGGGTTCCAGTGCGCTCCAGCCAGGTTTTATTCATGAACCTCTTGATGTACTGAGAACAGAGGGAAGAAGAGCATGATGATGATTCTCCAGACTAAATTACTGTTGAATTCCTCAACCTTTTGCCACCCCCCCCACCCGGGCCCAAGCTGTGGCATTGCACACCAAGCCTACAAGCAGGTCCTACGATGTGAAAGTGTCTGAGCAAGCCTGGTGTAAAACCAAGGCTTGCAGATGAAGTGAGCCTAATTCCAGCAATGGCAGGAGGGAGTAGGACAAAATGGTCCATGTAATATTTTTAAGCAATGTATGTATATCGTTGTAACGTATATCCATAGTTACAGATAATATTTGTTTTAAAAAACTACAGTACTATCTGCCATAAGAAATGAACCCTTTGAAGAGCCTGGTGGTGCAGTAGACTAAAGCACTGTTATTAACATCAGCTGCCTGCAATTACTGCAAGTTCAAATCTCACCAGGCTCAAGGTTGACTCAGCCTTCCATCCTTTCAAAGGTAGGTGAAATGAGGACCCAGATTGTGGGGGCAGTAAGCTGACTTTGTATAAATATACAAAAGTATGAAGGCTATTGCTTAACGCATTGTAAGCCGTCCTGAGTCTCCGGAGAAGGGCGGCATATAAATCAAATTTTTTAAAAAAAGGAATTTGAAAAGCATTTCAGTCTGAGGCCCCAAATCCAAGAAACTTCCAACCTTGAGGCTGGAGAGTTGGCTTGATTATTGGGCTCTTGAAGCGATGAAGCAGTGGGCCAGCTGCCTCCTGGGGTTTTGGAGGCTCTATCACTGGTTTTGCAATGAAGGTTGGACAGTTGTTCAGGGAGGCAGGGAGGCAGAATAGAGTACAGAATAACAGAGTTGAAAGAGACTTTGGAGGTCTTCCAGTCCAATCCCCTGCTTGAGCAGGAGATCTTATGCCATTTCAGGCAGATGGTTGTCTGTCTGTCTCTTCTTAACAGCCTCTAATGATGGAGCAACCAAAACCTCGAGAGGCAAAAGCTGTTCCACTGATTGTTGGCAGCTGGATTAGAAAGGTCCCTTCCAACCCTAAGATTCTGTGCCTTGGTTCTAGGATCAGCCATCCCTTATGGCTTCCCTTAAGGGGCTTATGAAGTTTTCCTTCTTACTTCCCTTCCATTCCAACCACTACTAACACCTGAAGCTCCAGATTAGTGCTTTGGGTCAAAGTCTTGGTCAAGTCTCTCTAGCCATATCTGGCTAAATGTCCAAGTAGATATGCCTGTCTGTCTTTGCTGAGCCTCCCTGGTATTGGGCACCAGGGTGGGACTCCAGAGCCCCTGTTTCCCTGCTAAGGAAGATGTTTGAGGGAGGGGTGTGATTCCAGATGAATCTATGAATGCTTCCAAACAATTTTTTTCTTTGCAGCTGTGCTGTTTCAGATCTATACACTGTAGATCAGGAGTAGCAGGGGTGAAATCCAGCAGGTTCTGACAGGTTCTGGAGAACCAACCAGTAGCAGAAATTTTGAGTAGTTCGGAGAACTGGCAAATACCCCCCACCCCCAGAGTGGGGTGGGAATGGGGATTTTGCAGTAACCTTCCCCTGCCACTCCCACCAAGCCACACCCACCAAGCCACACCACGCCCACCAAGCCACGCCCACAGAACCGGTAGTAAAAAATGTGGATTTCACCACTGAGAAGTCATCTTTAATTTGCTCTCTTCCTAGGCTTTTTCCTGCTTCTCTTTTAAGTAAAAGAGAACAGGAAGAAACAGAACAGAAAGAAAAAGCCTTATTATGCTTAGCAACATGTAAACTGGCCTTATTCTTATGTCCTGCTTTTTGTAACACAAAGATATGGTCTAATCACTACCAGGAGGGGTTTACAATATGGCCTCTGTCTCATCCTACTAAAACTATCTTCTCCCAACCACGTCTTGCCATATGAACCAACTACAATGCATTGGTGATATGGCCAGTGATGGTGCAGAGGATGAAGTCCAACTGCTTAAGTCTGTCTACTGCTGGACATTTTGGCTTGCTTGGGAGAGAGATGAGTCACTTACCTTTTGCAGCCTATATTGTAGTTGCTGCTGTTGTTGTTGCCTTTAACCAGGAATATCTCAACTGTCACGTGGTTGGTTAGGAAGTGCCCTGAGTGACATGGGACCCTGTCTGAGTCCCAGCCTTATGGGCAGGTGGGTTTTTTGGTCTGCTTCCTTTTGATGGGGACAGATCCTCATGTCCATTTGGGCTTGGCTCAAGAGAGACAGGGCATCTGGCTTGCACAGAGCAGGCCTATCAGCCCAGAATGTATTTATGTATTTATTTAGTCAAAGCACTAGTGCTATTGGAGGAGATTGATTAAGTTATATGGGAAATAAATAAATAAAATTCTGGCTGGCAGCTGAAGTGGGTGGGATGAAGCAAGCTCTGGCCTGATTGACACATATTGTTTGCAAAATAAAAATGGCAAAAAAAGTGTTCTGGCTGAGCAGAACTTTGTGGAGGAGCCAAATATAGTAGGAGGGAACCACTGATCTGCATCCGATTGGTAGATGAGCTTCTCAGGGCAAAAAACAAAGATTAAAAATCCTCTGGCTGATTTAGATAGCCCATAATTGGGGTGGGGGAGAGCTGAGCTTTGGGGGCAGGACAGTTTGTGTTTGCATGCTTTTCTGCTAGATCATGGCCTGGAAAAATGCATGCTATGCAGCCATGAGGAAGAGCCCAAGAGCCCTGCTTGAAGCATGTGGGGCTCAGGACAGGCTCCATCCTATAGTTAAGGAAAGGGCAGGCTGTGGAAATAAATTCAAAGGGAAGCAGACCAGTCCTGCCCCAACACTTCCTGACTATTTCTCTCCTGACTGGGGGGTCGCTCAGCACTTTGGCTGAGACCTATCAGGGTAAGCTGCTAATTGAAAGTATTCTGGCCTTCACTTTCTCCTATCAGCCAAATACAGTTATCAATATGGAGATGAAGGGCTTGCAATCCACTTTAATTTGCTATCTGTCTTCATCTGTCTTCACCTGACTTAGAATAACACCTTCAACACACAGAAAGAGAATTAGCATGGCAGTGGGGACACACATATGGTGGCCTTCTGGATCCAGAAAAGACAGGAAGCAGCCTTGGACGAACTGTAACTCTAACCCTGATGGATACTATCTGGCAGAGGGGTCTCTGCCTCCCAGTCTAGCAACTTAAGATATCTCTTACCACAGAGGGGTAATTGATCACAGAAATCTGGTAGCCAACAATAAGATTCCCACCAATCCCCAGGACAAGGATCATTTGAAAGAACCTCTGGTAATGACCCTGTAGAGAGAGCAAAGCATGGATGAGAACTAAAACAAAAGTTGTCCCCAGTCAGATTCTTTCAGAAGGTCTCTGACCTTAAGAAACCCTAAAAATATGTGGTGGGGAGGGGTGGGTTGGGGAGAGAACACGGGGGTACTCTGGATTAGAGAATCTCAAGCCCTGTGATTAGAAGGAAACATGTTCAGAAGTTGCTTAGAATTGCTTCCCATGGCAGGAAGCATGATGGGTCATTAAATATAATTAATAATATAATATAATATAATATAATATAATATAATATAATATAATATATAATCATAATCATTACTATCATAATGATGATAGATCATTAAAGAGAGATCCAACATAGAACTAAGGAGAAATTTCCTGACAGTGAGAACAATTAACCAGTGAGGGACTTCCCTCCAGTGGGTGGGTGCCCCATCACTGGAGTTTTTCAAGACTGGACAGCCATTTGTCCAAAATGGTATGGGATCTCCCCTGCCATGGGTAAGGGATTGGACTGGAAGACCTCCAAGGTCCCCTCCAACTCTATTATTCTGTGTTCTATGTTGTATGGATTTTGATGATTATGATTATAGCTTACAATTATTTTTGAGGTAAATGATTGAACAGCAGGAAGGGTCTAAAAGAGAGAAGAAGGGTAACTCCTGTAGTAAGTTAGAGTGGGTCCATAGGACAAGAGAACCAAGTAGGATGGTGGGCAATGGCAGCTAGACTCTCTTAGAACCAACCAAACAACCACGAGGCCATCCACAGGGTGCTGGGCAAAGCCACAGAACCTCACAGGAACATGCCATCCTGGCCTTGGATCCAGCAGCTGACCCAGAGGTGGACTGTAGGGCTGCACAGGATGGGCCAGTAAGCCTTTGTGCTTCATGTGCCTCAGCTGCAGACTGACACATTTACTGCCTGCCTACTCACCAGGTTGGAGAAGAACCCCTGCATCATCCTGTAATTCCTCTTCACCAAAGAGCTTTGACTGAGGAAGGTCAGCTGGTTTTCATTCTGCTGAGCTACAGAAACCATGACAGCAGAGTGTTCATTAACCTTGCCTGTTTCTGCTCTTCTTGCTCATTGGGTAAGATGAGATTGTTGGATAATTCATCCATTAATATATGCAGAATAAAAGAGTGGAATGCTTGATGGCAGAAAGTTGAAACTCATTTAGGCATGAAACCCAAACCTACCAGCCAACCTTCAGGCTCAACTAGCAAGGCTAGTGCTCCTGCTATGCTTTTTGGTTCTAATTTGTTGGAAGTCCAAACCTCATTTGATTCTTTGCCACCTCATGCCCTACTGGCCTTTAGGGGACAGCTGAAGAGGGGATTTCACCTTCCCAATGTCCCCTTCCTTCCCAGGCACGTGAATGGACACACATTGCAGGACTCTCCTCCTGGGAGGATGGGGTGGCCAAAGCTTATTATACATTTCCTTTAAATAAATTTCCTTCCTTTTCTAGTTATAAAATCTGCTCACTAATCCTCGCCAGTTTGGTTCAGGAAGGCTCACCGCTCCAAGATACTCTCCTGCCTGAATGTAGAATATGGATTCCAGTTCACGAGAAGTCAGAGAACATCAGAGCTGTCCTGAATAACAGAATCACAGAATTGTTGAGTTGGAACATACCATAAGGATAATCTAGTCCTGGCTGATGTTGCAGTGAGAACGGCTGGAAAACAGCAGAGCTCCGCCAGGCTCTGTGAAATGCAGCCAGCAAGTGCTTGCTGGGAGACCCTATGTCAGGGGTGCTATTCAGCAGATTCTGACAGGTTCTGGAGAACCAGTAGCAGAAATGTTGAGTAGTTCAGAGAACAGGAAAATACCACCTCTGGCTGGCCCCTGGAGGCCCCTGGAGGGTGGGAATGGAGATTTTGCAGTATCCTTCCCCTGCCATGCCCATCAAGCCAAGCGCACAGAACCAGTAGTAATTCCACCACTACCCTATGGGGTTAAGCTGCCCTGGAGGGGTGGTGAAGAAAGGAGAGGTGCTTCGTCGATTGCAAGGAAATTGCAATTTCCCCGCTGATCTGAAGAAAGCTCTCCTGTAGTGCAGCAGGGACAATGGCCATCTTTGGTCAGTCACAAGCTGGGACAACTGGGACACTAAGATCTTGTGCTGGAATGATGTGTGGACAGAGCAGTGAAACTGGGTGAGAAAATTTCCAACTGTTACCTTAGAGATTTAACCTGTTAAAAGTTCCAAAAAACGATCTCCAAACATTAAAAAAGTGGTGATTCGATTTATGGAGAAAGATTAAAGACTAAAAACTAAAGAGGAAGATTAAAGATTAAAGATTGAGAAGTAAAAGAAAAACCTAAAGGATGATTTAAAACATAGAAAGCCTGGAAAAGCCGAACAAGTGAAAGTGAAAAGTGACTATTGGGAGATATTGCTTTTCTAAATTCTATCTCTAACACCCCTGACTGAATGACAATCAGCTGTTTTTGACTTTTACACTCTGTTGAAGTGTAATTGGGAGCAGAGGAGCAGGAAATTGGGAGCAGGGGAGCCATCTACTGGAGGAAGAAGATTACTGCAAGATGTAAAATTCAAAGGAATTCAAAGGAAAGTGATGAGAGAAAGTAAACAACACCTGGCAACAATTGGAGGAAATGATATTTGAAATGATGGGGAAAGTAATAATATTGAGACCAGAAACTATATTACTGTTGATAATTAAGGAAATAGAACCAACAAAATATGAGAAAGAATTGATTAGAATTATGATTATAATGGGTAGAATTATAATAGCCAGATATTGGAAATTAGATGTGAATTTTAGAATAGAAGAATGGTATTGTGAAATGTGGAAATTAGCTCTAAACGATAAAATGACATGTGATATTAAAATTAGAAATGGTGACTATAAAGAAGATATTTTCTGGAAAATTTGGAAACCATTCGTGGACTATGCGCTGGGAAAATTGGATGCTTCGGTACCTGTATCCTGAGAACGTGGATTTTGACGATCATGAGGATATATCCAAAGAACCAAATCTTCCTTTCTTATGTATAGCACAGGGTGAAGTATTGTATATGTTGTTTGTAATGTTAGTAATTAAAAAAATTAAAAAAAATTAAAAATAAATAACACCTGGAAAGCTGCAGAGCCAGGCGAAGGAACCAATCCAATCAACTAAATCTAACAGATTGTCCGAACAAATAGGATGAAATCTTGACTTGGGACCCCAAATCGCAAGTATTTCTAACAAATCTTTTGAGCGATTTTAAAAGTGAAGGAAAAAAGTTTTTAAAATGGTGACTGGCTGAGGCTTGAGAAAAAGAAAGCTGAAAGCGACAGTCCTTCCGTTTGAATAGCTTAATACGCTACAAAGTATCTAGTGCTGGCTAGAACTGAAGAGAAAAATCTCTATTTTAAGTTTCTTTCTTCCTGGAGTCTTGATACTGATATTGCTTGGAGAAAAGTCCTTTTTTCTTTTTAAGAAAAAAAAAAGAGTTTGTTTGTGGGGCAGGATGGCGTTGAAACAGACAAAGCCAGACAATCAAGCCGTGGGGGGGGGGGTTCCCCCATTTACAAATCATATGAGCAAGTTTTGAGCCTGCAGACACAGAATGGCTCGAAAGATTTAAAGAAATTTGTTTTGGAGGAGATGGCAAGATATGATGAGATTGTGAACCAGAATCTTGAAAAATTCAGGCAGGAAATTAAAAAGTTGGTACAACTAAAGTATGATAATTTGAAACAAAAGATTGTAACAGTTGTCAAAACTTTTTCAGAAATAGTTATAAAGATGGATAAAGATAATAATTTATTAGAGTCCAAAATGAAGGAAGTTGATGATAAGATTTATAATTTGGACAATAAAATACAAAGAATTGAAAATGATTTGATAAATATTCAAGAAAATAGCTCAGAAATAAAGCCTAAAATACAGAAAGCTGACCACAAGATTTACAATGTAGATAATATAAAACAAAGGATTGAAAGAGAAGTTACAGTGATGCAATACAGGTCCATGGAATTTGCGGTCAGAATGAGGGGATTACAGGAAAATAATAGAGATGACCTGAGAAAGATGTCTGCTGAAGTTCTGGCTGTGATTTTAAAGGTTAGTCCTGAAGAGGTATCCTGCAGGATTGATAAGGTCTACAGAGTAAATTCTTGGGTTGCGAAGCAAAGGCAGTTGCCTAGAGATGTGGTGATTTACTTTACAGATAAAGGAATAAGAAATGATATTGTGCAAAAGTCTTTTAACTCCACTCTAGAAATGTATGGAAGGAAGATTTGGATATACAAAGAGCTGCCGTCCAAGATGTTAAAAGATAGAAAGGAATTTGGATTTTTGGTGACTGAGCTAAAAAAACAAAACATCCCATTTAGGTGGGATGTTCCAGTTGGTATAATATTGAGCTATCAAGGAGAAAGATATCAATTAGACACTGTTGAAAAGGCGGAAGAATTTTACTACAAGGTTTTTAAAATGGAACCAACATGTCATTAGTATCAGAAATACAGGAGGGGAATAAAGAAAAGAATGAACAAGAGACTGAAACCCAGGCTAAGCAATTGGAGATGGAGGTTATGGAAAAACAACAAGATACAGAGGTTCTTTTGGATGAGCCGCTTCTGGATTCTCCTTCAGAGGTTATAGCTGGATTACCTACAGACATAAGAGAGGCAGCTTTGGATTTTAATGAGATGTCTTATCAAGTTACAGGCCAGCATGGAATTCAATCAGCTGATACACAAGTCCTAGAGAGACAACTAGGATGGAGATCTAAACCACAGAAAGCTAAGAAAAGAAGAAGCAGGTCTAACAAAACTAAAAAAATTTAAACTGAACAACAGCTTAATGCCAGTTACTGAAGAGTCGATTAAATATAATAAGCGGGACTTATAGATGGCTGACATATGATACATGAAAATATAATTGAGGCAAATTATTGACTTTCATTATCTTGAGAAGAATAACAGATCTCTGCAGTGCTGGTGCTTTTGGGTTGTGGTTGGGTTTGGAACTTTCTATTTTGGACTCTTTGAAAAATGGATTACGTATTTGCTGAGTTATGTGACAAGAGAATTATGGGATTGGGGCATGCAGAAGATCTGGTTGTTATCCCAATTGGAATCAACAATCTAGATACAAGATACTACAGAAGATACCATATGGAATATAAATATAAAGTCACTTTTTATATTTTTATATATGAAAACATTTATTATTGAGGAGGACAGATGGTAATGGAAGATACTGAGTATGCTGTTGGTAGCCGAAGCTGATGTTACCCTAACATGGGTGATGGAACTAACAATCTAGTTGAAAGACGTTACAGAAGACACTATATGGATTATAATTTTAAAGGACTCATATATATGAGTCTCATATATGAGAGGACTCATATATGGAAATATTTTTGTTAGTTGTGTGGTGTGGCCAGAAGAACAGAGATATTAATATTATGTAAGGTAGACCTGTAGGAAAATGGGTGGAGATGGGTTAGGTTATTGACTGTTTAGTTTAGGAAAAGGGATGTTATGTTATGTTTAGATATAAATATACGTAAAAGATTTGGATTAGGAGATATATGCATGTGGGAAGAAATGGGTAGATTATGAGTTGAATAAAAGTTAAATTAGGATTTATTATATAGTTTTATAGTTGAAGGTTGCTTTGAAATGTAAAGCTAAAGCTCCTGGAACGGATGGTCTAACTGCGGTGTATTATAAAACTTTGCAATATTCTGTGAAATTATATTGTATCTTTAGAACCTCTTTTTGAATCCTCTGTTCCAGATATTCTACATTACCAGACTTTTGGTCAGCATCCATTTTAAATTTTTCTTCTGAACTATAATCCTGAATATTTAACAAATCATTTTCAATTTTTTGAATTCTATTGTCCAATTTATCTTGAATTTTATCCATTTTTGACTCTAGTAAATTAATATTTGTATCCAACCGAATCATGAATTCTGGCAATTTTAAAATTTTTTGCTGCAAAAAGTCAAACTTGGATTTCACCAATTCCTTAGTTTCCTGCTTAAATTTTTCAAGTTGCTGATTCACAATCTCATCCCTTCTTTCGATCTCCTCTAAGAAAAATTCTATTATATTAAAATCAGGTTTCTGGGACTGAAGAGTTAAAACATGTTGCTTTAAATTCTTAGTGGGGGAATCCCCCCCACCTATTTGTTTGTCTGACTTCACAAGCCTCAGTGCCATGTTTCCGCCTAAGCAGGCTTTGTTAGAAGAAGAAAAAAAAAAAAAACAAGACAAAAGACTTCCAGCCAGCAACACTCAAGCCTCCAGGGAAAAAAGAGAAAAACAAAAACAGGAGCGGAGTTTTGTCTACAAATGTAGCCAGTGGTATTTATTCCGCTACATTGTAATAATAAAAAACGGAAGAACTTTCCCTCTCAAACTCTTCTCCAGCCGCGGCAGACGCCATTTTAAAAAAGAAACTTTTTTCCTCTTTCTCTTCCTCTATTCTCTTAAGTAATTTTTAAAAGATAAGTAAAATACTTGCGCTTCAGTATTACAGGTCCAGCTCACATTTTCTTTGAGTAATCTGTCAAATCGCAAGCTTGCTTTTGACGCCTGGCTCTGCATTAGCAGAGGTCTCCCAAAGCCCGGAGCAACGGCTGGGGATATGGGGCATCTCATCCGCTCCATCCCAAAAGTAAAAGAAAAACTTTTGGGACTCTGCAGAGAGTTCTACCCACCCCTGCCGGCTCTATCTCCGTTTCCTCATGGGAACGGAGTTTTTTCGAGCCGCCGTTCCGTTGTGAAGGCGGCTCTGACAGGCAGTGGAAGCTGACGATCCCAAAGGAACGTCTGGCGGCGGCCAGCAGCAAACAGGAAGTCACTTCTATTTGGATTTTGATAACACGTAGCACAGATCTTTTTATCAGTTTAAAAACAAATCCTATCTATTTAACTGGACTGGGTAGGATGGGGTAGGGGATGATTTTCATGGGGGCAGTTATCTCAGGAGGTTAAGGAGAAGTCTGCTGTTAT